GCCAACTTTGGAGAGATTTTTGTTAGATTCTATTGGTATATATATCTAAATCCTTATTCCTCATTCTATTAAAGAAAAATTTCAGCGTAAGATTTAGTGAATCTATGTTTTTAACTTGGTCAGCTTATTACGTTAAACTATGAATACTTAATTAAAATATTTTCTGTCATTTTAAATTTTTGGTATAATTTATTCATTCTATTATTTAAGAGATACATTATACATATACATTAATATTTTTAAACATAGCTTCTAATTTATAATGACTACTTAACAACCTTCTCTATGTTTTACATTGCCAAGAACTCTGTTGAAGCTTTTTTAAATATACTTTATCTATGATAGTCGAAGAATAATAGAAGATCACATCCTTCTTTTTATATATGTTGCAAAACGAATACATCAATGTAATTAACTGTTATATATATATAATAATTAAATGATATTATGCAGAAAATTTTCTAAATTTTTTATACTTAAATTTAATTATTAGTGTGTATACATAAAAGAAAAAAAATGTAAAATGCCGATTCATGAAGCACAAAAACGCTTTTAAAGCACCACAAGAACCATAAAATTTTTTATAAAGAAACAATAGATGTTGCTAATTTGAATAGGCACTCTGACCATCAAACCCTTATCAAAGGCTAAATTGGCTGTAGTAAGTATACAAAAAATAACAATAACTAAACAATTTGCCCTTTCATCATCACCACATGTCAATTGCTTAAAACTAAGCATCTGGGCACAATGTCAAGATCAACTTAACAAAATCTTCGTAAAGAGGATCATCATCATTTGTTTCCCAGATACCCACAAGATAATCATAAGAAACATATTTTCTATTAAATTCTTCAATGACTTAGATCGTGGCTTCTCCTATTTTAGGATGAATAATAGACTTCATTGATTTCATTTCATCTTCTTCACCAAATCTTGACACATCCCAGTTCTCACTTGAAAGTGAGTGAGATAACGTAGAGATTGATTGTACTTGTCTGTCATTGCTTTTGCGAGTTCCCGCCAACTCTTGAATGGAAGACATAATGTACTTCGTTCAGGTAATGGAAGTGCCTTCATGAAGTTTTGATATTTTTCTGCATCTATAATCCCTGCAATTATATATATACGTATATAATATAAGTATGTAAGATATAATAATTTATTTGATATTTTATATCTATGTCAAAAAATTTAATGAGATCTATTAAATGTACAAGTGAAACTATTGAATATATGTAAATTTACCTGCTTTGTCTTATGATGTTTTAAGGCCTTCACTATTTTCTCCCTCAATCAACTTTATTTTTCTATTTATTTGATTTTCATTTCCTTTTCAAAATTCTACATTTTTCTTCATCTTCTCGTTTTGAACTACATGTTCTTTGAAGTGTTGAGGGCCTTGATCTTAAAACTCCAAATTAGAATCTGTTATCATTGCTTTTTTCTTCTTCCCTTTCAAATGTG